CACTACCTTAGTTTATACATAAATATTAGATGGTCTTTTATTTACACAATGTTATAGTTATATTAATTTAAAGGGCATATATTTATTCTTCATATACTATTTTACAGTTATAATACATTGGTGGGTGGCATCGAGTGTGGTCGATGATCGATTATATATTATAAAGACCAATCTTTTACAGAATCTTAATCGATTACAAGTGTCAGGTCCCGAACAAGCCTGAACACATACCGTTCTCGTTCACTCTTAAACTATTCCAATATAAGTTATCCAGAACAATGTAAGGGACATAGTTTACGAGTATTTAATTGGTTCACCATTTTATACATCTTGGGTTTTATCAGGCGACTGAGAACCTTTGTAACGTGAACACGAGCTTCATCTGCACAGAATGTAGTTACAAGCTATCTTCAAATTCGTGTTGTAAGTGGGCTGTCCAGTACAGTTCAGTATCGGCTTCAGTCCAGTCGCCCGTATAATTTTACCCTACATTTTATCAAGTATGGCGTGTAACCATTCTAAAAAACGGTTAATGATTATGAATTCCACTTAGCATTAACACAGCGACACCCTGTCACCCGCCCGGGCGGTCCCGGGGCAAAAGGCTAGTAAGCTCCTAAAGATATGACGTCATATGTATGTACAAATCGAATTACTGTGGAACATAGGTACACACGCAGTCCCCGCGGCCGGGCCCCGCACCGCCCCGCTGCCTGCAGTAAGCGTACACTACATCTACAATAAGTTCTGTTACTTGGCAGTTCATATTATATCTCTACGCTAGGATAAATCCTTGACACTATCTATTAAGTACTTTGAAGTCGGTCAGCGTGTGCGAGTACGGGGCTCCAGAGGCCGCGGTCGACATTACAATTTAAAAATAACCTGTGACGTCTGTCCAGAGTCGATAACTAGTAAGAATCCAGTAGGGTAGGTGAAGCAAACTAGGGAACTGATATCGGTAACAATATATAATTTGAGTTGTTACGGACGGCGCGATATTGCGGCGCGCCGAGTGCCCGCGACGCCTCACGCGAGCACTCTCCGCGCCGCTTACAATCTTTAGCTGAACTATGAGAGTAATCTTCTCTACCTAAATCATACTCCAATAACTTGCCCTAAGGTAACTTTAAACCTCTAACTTAACCAAACGGTTATACCATTCATAACTCGTGCTCTACCATTCTATACCGATAAATTATCTCAATTAACCTTAACTAATCTAAAGGTAGGGCTGCTGCAGTAACAGTATTCTGGATAACTTATCAAAAATTAAATTAGTAGTATATTCTCATCTCATATAATATAGTAGGTTTATGTGAAAATATGTCGATCTAATGAAGTAAGTTAGGAAGTTAAGATAACAACGAGTGTCTAGTAGGTAGTACATGGCAGTACTAGAGAGTGCAGCTAGTACAGCTGAGGAACGCAACAGTAACAGGTACACGCTAGTACACAAATAAGACAAGTACGATATAATAAAGTAAGTACGAACGTGTGCTTGAAGCTAAACTATGCTAAGCGATAGAAAAAATAAATAACAGAAAGGAGATATGACTAGATCGTTTTGTTTCAATACTAGAACCTACTATTCATAAAAGCACTATGCGCTCTCTCCATATTTTTATTATATAAATAGATATAATATGATTAATAATTCCCGATTCTAAGGTTTGTTTTTTTTCTGATTAAAATATTGGCATTCATCTTATGTACTAAGTAACATCGAGCGGGGCGCGGCGGGCGCGTTGTATATCGCGCGAGTGACGTCACGCCCGCCCCTGCCGCCCGCGCCCGACCTCTAACTAACTATATCGCCTTAATACGACCCGCCTTCGATTCGCATACCGCTTACCAACGATTCAAACGTCCTTGAGTGCATCGATCATGTTCACGTGTACGCGTGCGCTACCACGTATTGGAGTATGCGAACTATATATATAAATATATTATAAAATGTCAGGAGTTAATAGTTTTTAGAAATTCGATTTCGTAATACTAAGAATGTTGTTGATGTGTCGCGAGTGGCGTCGCGTGACGTCGCGCTGCCGCGGAGTGACACGTGACAAGTGAGTGAGGATACTTCAGTAACGCAGTGGCACTAACTGGGGTGAAGATGTCGCCTGTCGGCTGTCGGAAACGAAGCGAGCGAAGCGCGTCAGTTGTCGAGCAGTAGAATGGACAGCGTGAGATGAGGATGAGGTCGGTTACGCTACAGTACGAGACAGTATAAAAAGTAGCGACAGACTAGTGGACCCGAGAGTGATGCGGCGCGCTGCCGCCGGGCACGTGTGCGAGTCGGACTCTCCGGCAGACAGTCGGCAATATCTGCCTTCGTGAAAATTATTTAGATACATTTAAATAATTGCAAAGCATACCCTGTATCCTAGAATCACTTTTACGGCGATTGTTTTATACATTCTGAAAGGACTCATTAATCTATTACAAATGTTCGCGTCTCCGCAATATATTTTTAGGGAATTTTAATTTTAATCAGTATAAAGATATAAGTACACAATATTATTAATCGTCCCGGGCGGTGCCCGGGCGCATTACGCCTACATTACCCACGAGGTGATATTATCGATAGTCGATATACTAAGTATACGTGTTCGGGTTTGGCATCCATTTGTGTATCTGTAACCTAAGTCGGTCGCGGCGCGGCGCTGCCGCCGTCGGCGTTGCACTCAACACTTGCGACCCGAGCGCGACCAATGGCGGCCAGTGGCCACCGTCCTCGGTGTCACTGCCCGCCACAAGGGCCAGGGTGACCACACACTTCCTAACCATACTGAGGCCGGCTCGCAGTCGGTTTACGAAACGAGACCACGTCGACGAATTATCTACAACGGTAACGTAAGAAACATCCATAAAATAAATACTTAATCAAATAAATACGAGGCTAAAACAATTATAAAAAGCGTAACAACGTATTGCACAACGGTGAGATAACTTTAGAGAAAAGAACTAGAGAACACTTAAAACGATTTACTTATGTTTTTTTTTTCAATATCGTTTAAACACACTGCTTACTTGTAAATCATAGTATCGCCTAAAACTAGAATACTATATCAATATAATATAATTATTTGTGTAAATATAAAATTCTATGTCTTGTGGTGAGTGTAATATTTGACTAGAGCGGGCGGCGTGGCGGAGGGCGGCCCGGGACAGGCCCCTGCGTGTGGGCTCCGCGACCCGGGCCGGGCCCTGCGCGTGGGCCCCCGCAGCCCGGCTTAGGCCAGTGTGATGGTCCCACGGCCGGGCCCCGGGCCCCGCCGGCCGCGCCGCGCGTGCCACGCTGTGCGACTCGCCCGCGCGCACACAATATATCTAAGGTATCTCGTATTATTATATATTTATATTGGTACTTTTCTTGATTATGAATCTATTTCTTCAGTAGAAATTACACTAGTTTTGTATTCTGTTAGTTCGCGCACCACTCACTGTTGACTCCCGGGACGCATTAAGTCACAGTTATTGTATTCAACACCTTAACACGAATAGTTTTTATATATGTATAATGTATAGACACTCACACACGAATGCTTTAAACAAATTAGGGGAAGCGCGCTCCGAGAGAATTGACATCGCGACCTCGCGAATGTGCCGCGCGCGCCCCGCGCCCTCGTTGCTCGGTATTGTCTAATTAACTATCTACAGACCTTTTGCATTCAGAAACTTTTGTTCTGATAACAAAATAACAACATTTGGAACGTAATTTCATGACACAGAGACATTTTCAGGAACTTCCTTTTAGTATGTACAAAAATAAATAGTGATTTTTCTTTACAGCAAATCTCTGAAAGTGCCCCTATCATGATCGTTTTGCTTGTTAGAGTAATAATATTTATTCTTTATACTGCATGAAAGTTCAGTTTAGATAACAATAACAGGGCAGAGTTGAGAAAGAGAGTGGAATGTGAGAGTTGGTAAGATGTCGGTTTGGCAGGAGGGGCGCGGCGCGCGGTCGGCTCGGGAGCGGTACACACATATGCAATACAGAGACGAACGGCCTGTACAGTCCATTATGTTGATATTATATTTTTTATATCACAGCCCATATTGGAATTTACAACACATAATAACACGATCTTTTGAAACGAAGGCCTAAGTATTGAATCATGAAGTGCACTTTGATTTGTACACAGCGTTAATACAAACATTTAATTTTGTCAACAACATCGTTCACTAACATGTAGGTTTGTGAGGTTGCTGGCCGTACCATGGACAGACAGACGCGTCATTACAACGTGCTACTCAATATTATACATAGTCGTAGTTACAAGGTATATAATATAACTGTACATTCGCCGCACACTGTTGTGTCGTGGTAAATCGCAGGGTACAGTACATTGTCATCTCGAGTAACGCCGTGAGAGAATGTCGTGTGGTACGAGCCAGCCACATAGCTTACACACATACACACACACATTAAAATTTAACAAAATATAGGACATTATAAATACTCCAATAGTGATCTATGCGAGCACTTATATTAGTGTGATCAGTTCGGCGGGGGGAGACAACAGTGTCTGCGCGCGCGCGGCGGGCGACGTGCCGGACAGGGCCGGACCGAGCCGGACAGGGCCGACTGGCCGGACAGGGACAGGTAGGCCGGCCCGGCCGGACACACTAGACAGGCCGGACTGGCCAAGCAGGCCTACCTACTCTTTGTCATATATCGGCTACCTGCCAGACACACGCGCGCTATCGCCCGCGGCGCTGCGTTTCCTTGCAATATACAATCATTAAAATACACTTTTTTTCTTACATTTTCAACTTACTTAATAAATTCAGTTTGGCTTAGTTCAAGCAAATAACTAGTATAATAAATTTATGTTAAAAGTTTCAGTTAAACGTTAAGTACTTAGAAGTAGAAGTATGATTACGAATGACAAAATTTTTATAACGTGTCATTTTATAATAATAATAATAATTTAATCAAAGTTAATAAATTGTATATATAATAATATAATAGAGTAATTTAATGATTAATCGATAATGATAAGAATGAAGCATTCCTACGCGCTGATTTAATAAATTACTTTTAACTAATTTAGTATACTCGCCGAGTGGGCTTGCATAATTCTTTAGGTAAGTATGTAGGTAATGATATTTGCTATACAATAAATGTGTAGTAAATTCCATAGAATTGTTGATAACACGCGAACTGGCGCGCCTCGGGCGTGCCGTGCGCTCCGGCCGCCACCTGCAACACGTCGCTCTCATTACTTACTGACCTATCTCGATGCCACTGTTATAACAAAGCAGCAAATATTCAGGGTCGTCTACGTACCATGGGCACGCGATGAGCGCGCAGGGACGGCGTCTTGGGTTAGTAAGGCCGATTGGCATCCTTGGGCCGCTTAAGTTGGACCTTCAGCCGCTTCATGCCAATCTGGAAGCCGTTCATCGCTTGGATCGCCGCCTGCGCCGACGCCGGGTTGTCGAACGATACGAAGCCTGGAATAAATATCCAGTTCATTTAGTATTTTCAAACCACTTAAGATTTATATTTTATATATGAAGTTATTATTTTTGTCTTATGAAATGTAGGTAGTTGTAAAATTACAACGAACCGAAACACTTGCTCTGGTTGGTGGCGCGGTCGATGAATACTTTGCTGCTGATGACGTTGCCAAAGGGCAGAAACATCTGCATCAACTCGGCGTCCCCGAACTCCTGCGGCAGGTGGTAGATGAACAGGTTGCAGCCCTCGGGGCCCGAGATGGAGCAGCCTGGGAACATAAGAAAATCTTTAAAGAACTCACAAATCTGCCTCTGAACACCATCACGAAAAGGTTTTGTTAAAGGGAGATTTGTACTAAATGAAGTAATTAAAGGTGATGTTATATTCTTTAATGCGACCGAAGACATTAGTATGAACGAGGTGATTAATGGAGGTTAAGACGACGCAACTGACGAACTTACTGTGAACGACAAAAGTTATAATTATTAAACCAAAATCTGAAGTTAGAGAATAATAAAAAGTGAATACGTTACATGATACAAAGACACATATCCATAGAACAGCGATACGACAGACACAAAGATGCACATGACATATAGTGTACAGCGACAGACGTGTGGTACGATAGAGCAGAAGCCAGTAATTGTGTGGAAGACGCTGATCGTATACCTTCGGTGTGTCACTGTATACTCGAAAGAATATAAACTATCACATAAACATATAAACTGAAGACAACATCAAATGCTATCCAGCCAAAATATCAGTGGATGAAGAAGTATATGATGTTATTGCATCCTGCTTTATTATCGAACTTATTGTATTTGTGGCTGAATAACAAACAGTACATATAACAAAATCAATAAAACTCCAGTGATATAATGTCGAGTTTATTGATTTTCGATGATCTCCGTGAACACCAAGAGCTGGTTAATGGAAGTGGATGAAATCGTCTGCTGAAGTACTGGGTTAGTTCCGTGGCCTCGTCCTCGGAGCTCCACTTACCTTCTCTTTGCGCAGGCGCAATCGTTGACATCGGTGGCGGGATGGGCTGCGGAAACTGCCCATATACCGCTGGATAAGCTGTAGAACATTAATTTGCACATTTTCACAATGAACACCTATAGTTGCGTACATATACATGCATGTAACAACATTATTATATAATAATAATCAAGCTAAAATAATATCCATTGATATACAATTAGTTTTCTTTTTTTCTTTGCCAATTCTTACATTTTTTGTTTCAATTTTGGTGGATAAAATAATAGACATATAACATTGAACACAAACTACTATTGAGTACTACAGTAACCATAATATCGAGTAGCGTGATTTGAACAGCGCACAGTATCCTTTATGGGTATACACAACAATGTACTAGAAGTCGATCGATCTGCTAAAAGACTTTAAGAATGTTCTAATGGAAGATGATATGTGGTAGCAGATCAATCAATCAGTAGATAAATATAATATAAACAACATATAAACATCAGTTTCCCTTGCATCGGCAGAATTACAATATATACCATTCATTCAAAATACTTATGATAATTACTGAATACTCATTCTATACAAAAGTTGTGAAATATTTGCTGTTTGTTGCTAAAAGAAATCGATTTTATAAGAGTTGTGAAAGCACTTTCGTCTTTAAGTATGGTGCGTAAAATTCAAATATCTTTTAGCAACAACGTGGCTAACATTAAGTTGAACTTGACCAATAGTTAATATGGAACTTAATGGTATCCGATTTCAAAAATTATTGTAACTATCCCAATTTCAAAATTATCTTTGATTCACCAGCAAATGTTTTTTGTTGTGATTAAATTTTGATAATATATTAGTTTGAAATGGTCTATTGGTCAAGTTTGAAGCAGGTAACCAAAGCAGTTCGTGTGTAGGGTATGGGACGACGCCACTCACCGACTCCAGGGAAGGGCTGCATGCCCGGGTAAGCCGCGTGTTGCAGTGCTGCTGCCTCACCGTTGGGCAGGCCTTGTGCAGTTACTGGAACAGCTGGAAAATATGATACACACGTGTTATGAAGCTATATTGCTAAATAAAATATTTTACAGCTTCTGTAAGTACTAAATATAATGTCTTTAAGACTTTCTAAATTAAAAATTCTTCAGTTTAACTCGACAATAGATAGGTAAAACAAAACAAAGCAGGAACAAACATGGGTGTTCCACAAGGTTCAATATTAGGACCACCGCAAAAATGTTACTAATATTCGTTGCCATTGATAAAATACTTACGTCCAGTGAAGGTCTGATGTATGCCATTGGTGTAGACGGCATCTTGCGGTGGGGGCTGTCCGTTAGCAGTCTGAGCGGCCATGTTGAAGCCAGGCATAGTTGGAGAGGGCAATGATGGCAGGGCTCCGTTCAATGGTTGCCCGCCACCTGTCCCTATCGCTAGTCCAGAGAAGTTATCTGAAATTGAACCATAAGTAATAGTTAGTATGACAATATTCGTAGTTAGTATAAATCATTATAATAGTAGGCGTGATACAATAAAATGTGTAGAAACCGTTCTTTGAAATGACACTTTCAATATTTTGTTTGGTAAAGAATAATATTTACCCGAGGAGGGTGGTACCACAGTGTTCGACATGCCGTTGAGAGCGTGCGAGGCGAGTGCTGTCATCGGACTGATGTAGCCCTGTGCCGTCGCGGCGACCATCAACGCTGCTTGTTGCTGTAATATACAAAATAATAGATTATATTGACGTACTAAAAAGTATGTTACAGAATGCTAGGAGATTTCGTGGCAAATGCAACTTGGGAAACAGTTTGTTATGTTACTTCCATGTTAAATCCCTTCATACTGTAGACCTTCTACACGTTCAAAGCATGTAGCTCTATATATCAATTACTGAATACTAAATGTAGACGTCTTCTTGAAGCGCTACATCGCTATTGAGATTAAATAGGATCAAGTTAATGTGAGCCGTGTAGTATCTATGAAGCTTTGTAGCGTATTGTCTACGGTGTAGCATGTAGTACTACGCTGAGCGATTATTGTCGTATTCTGTACATAATCGTGAACTACATAATTACATTATGTTATTGTGTCGAACCTAATCGCACATAAATCTTAGAATAAAGTGGGAAGTGTTCTAGAAATCTGGTAGGTTTTCTTGAGTGATCAGTGAATAATGAAACGGTCATTTATGTGACATACGAAATCTACGCCTACGTATTCAAGAGCGGTCTCAATAATTCAGGAGACTAATGTCAGGTATTCATGCTTTTATGTAGATAAAGTCTGTTTTCGAAAACAGATTTTCGTATTAAAACTTTCGAGGAGAACGTAAAACTTTTTCTTCCATTTACAACATATTAAAGCTATCTCTGAAAGGGTCTAGACACATAACGTGAGGTATTTATGAAGTTAGTTGTAAAAAGTTTGCTACCACGGAGGTTGCAATATTGCATGTTACACGCTTATCAATTTTCATCAGGCCGACAATGCAGGTATTAAAACTTTTGATTTACGAACTGTAGTTGAGGAGATAATATTAATTTTTGAAAATTTCTACTAATTTTAAAGTAATAAAAATGTTTACTGGCTGATGGTCAGAAGTTTGTTAAAGCTACAATTTTTCCTTATACATATTTCCTAATAACTTCTGTTCGGTTTGATGAAGACTTAGAATTAAAAATTGTTTTCCAGTGTGTGTACTGCAGGTATGTTTGCCATTCTTACCTGTTCCGTGATGACTTGTGCGTAGGTACTGTAGGCTCCGAACTGATTGAACACGAAGGGGTTGAGCAGACTCATATTACCAGCCATCTGCTGCATGCGCCGCAATTGTCGTTCCTTTTCTGTATCCGCAAACTTTACCACGAGGCTCGATGACGCACCCTGTAACAATGTAACGAAATTTTTCACATTTTGGACTCTGTCATATAAACAAAACCCTGTACTTTTGCTATCAAGATTCAAGGTAATTCTGATTGTATTTTATACTGTCGTCGAGTGAACAATTTGTAACAGTAAATAGCAAAAGTTGTGCACTTTGTGCTTTTGATTTTGCCCCTAATAGAGAGGAAAATTAATCCCGCCGCTGCAGGAGCGCAGATACGACGTTGACCTCTTTAAAAATGCAGCAACAAAGCCCTCGTGAATATTAAAACTGCAATAGCAGACGCGTAAAGTGCTCCCCGGGCTATAACAACGGCAATCCCACAAACTAGGGTACAACAAAACGGTCGGCACAATACCGACAGCGAAACGTTCAGCGTTCGCATTCATTATGTATTTGCAGTCGGAGTACAGGCAAAAATGGGTGGGCGCGGGTAGGCCCGGCACGAGCGCGCAACAGGTTTCCTCCCCATAGTTGCAACAAGTTATTTGGGCTCACATCCAAAAATGCATCGGCCGAGACGTTCCGCGAAGTTGGTCGGGCAGGAGCCTCTCTTGCGGAAAACTGGCTTCCTTCCGAGCTCGGCCACTATCTCCGCAGCCGGCCGCGGCCTGCGCCAGCCGGCCCGGCGGGCGGGCGCGCGATGTTAAGTACGCGTTAATTGTCGGCGCGTGTTTGCTAAAAGTATTTCACAGTTGAGCGCGAGCGTGGCCGCGCATAACATTTCACTATTGAATTATTCCGTGACGGTACGCATTTGTTTCGTCGATTCCATTGTTTGATATTTTCGATTTCCGGTTTATGCAAACGTTGTGGTTCCCGCTTAAAAGCTTTCGGTCCATTTTGTTTTTGATCCTCAATAAAAATGTAAGTATTTTTAAAAGTGGCAATATATTAAAATGATTGTTGCTATATAAAAGAAAGATAAGATACTTTAGCAATTAGTTAACTAAACAGCGCGCGACGTTTACGAGTAAGCAAGTTTGTAATTTAATGGAGTTGGTTAAGTCATTAAATTATTATTAACGTAAAAGATTAATGGTAGTATTAAGGCTCTCAGAAATTTGCTTTAGGTAACGGTTGATTAATGTTTATGTTATGAATAAATATTTGAAAAAGTTTTTTTGTAAAGTGCTTTAAAATCTATTGGCTTAGCGTAACATTTATCGGTAAGTATGAGTAGTAATCTGGTTTAATGTTACGTTGCGTGTGTATAGATACAGGATGATATAAATCCGTGCGCGGGTTGAGGCGACAAATGGCGGCGGCATGGCGTCGCGTGTCACATGGGCGTCGAAGGTGACGCTAACAAATGCGCTTACATTACTCTCGCAACGTGAGAGCACGGTATGTTGCTACTACAGTATACATACAAATAATGCCATAGACACTTTTTATATTAATTTAAAATACACCTGGTTTTCAATAATCAATGTCAAGTGTAGTATTCATCACAATCTTGATATTCTTAGCTCAGGAAATATTGGTACTATGCGTACGCGCACTATGAACAGTCACTACACATCTTAAACCGACTTTCATTAATATTAAGTTTTCCTTTGTGTCCATGACATATGTGTAGGTAACTGTATTTTATATTTATTTTTCTCAAACTTATATTATACTATATCATTAAACAATTAAATGCATATCTTAGGATATATTTATACTTTTCAACTTACAAGATGGCTCAGGAAAGTTAATGCCACCTCAAAATTAAAGAACTAAAATATATTAAACGAAACACATAATAAAACAGAATTAATAATAATTTCTTAGTTTTTTTTTTAAAGTTACATTTTGACAATAATAAATAACTAATCAATACAACTTAACTTTACATAGAACTATAAAATATATAACACAAAGTCACACTACTATAATTTTCCCCTGCAAAATCTCGAATTTAAACAGCAATCCTTGGCTCGATCCTCGCAGTATAATTCTAAGCGATCCAGGTCAAGTTACCCGTGCCTTTAGATGTGGCTTCACTGAAAGCGTACTTTGAAGTAGTCGACTTAATACTGATAATTGATTTCTATTAATAGATTTAAAAGCTCACTTGATTGGGGATTACTTGTTATTCGGAGGTTAAATGGCTTCCATTGATTTTGTGATTGATTAATTAATTTAAGATATTTTTGATATTCGTTGAGAATAAGTTACATTTAAAATTATTTTAAAGGTATAAAGTAATTGTAAAAAGTTTATGGTCGCCTTTGATACTGATCGATAATGTTTAATGTCGATCATAGTATCATATCTAAATAAAAAATTGAGAAATACATATCATAACATCATAATATCACGCCTTATATCCTCGACGGGGTAGGTGCACATTACGGCACTAAATGCCACTGAACAATGTAACACCCACTTTTCACTATTTATGTTATGAGTCCCATGTAATAGGAGGTGAGCCTATTGCCATATACCGGGCACATTTCCAGAATCCTTGTTACTACTAAGACTTTTTTTTTAAACTCATTAAAATTTTCCCGACCCGGGAATCGAACCCTAGACCCCTTGCCCGGCAGTCGCATTTGCGAATACTCAGCCAACGAGGTAGTCAACTAAAAACAATTAATAAATAATTACGTTCAAATATCTCAAATGGTTAACATTCCGAAAAAAACAATACATGACAAAATGTTAAACGATTAAAGTCGAAATGTGCGCAAGTTACTTCAAGATTCTCATCAAAAATGAATCACAAACTATTATAATGTAAATACACGTAACATAAGACAGCAGAATAATCTTCTTTCGTCGTTTTCTTGTGAGCTAAGTTTTATTATCTATTTTATTAGGTAATCGCGTCGCGGCCCCGTAAGGGGGGACATGGGGCACATTCGTTACGTCTCCTCTGCAATTAACGGGACATTATTAAACTCTTAATTGCTCTTGTGTAAGTTCACTCTCGCTTGTATAATTTATATGTTTATTGTACACTGTATTTATAGTTGTTGGAAAACGTGCTGCTATAAAATTATCGTGTGTTAATAAATTTATGAACACATTAATGTTATTTGTTATGTATTAATTAGCGTGTGCTATGTTATCATAACAAGTTTCTATAATAAATCACTTCATTGTTATCTATTATAATGTATCGTGTTTGAAGCTCCAACAACAATTGCTGCGTAGCACGTAGCAATGCTACGGCGTAGCAACGTCGTAGCACAACAGCTACGGACAGTATTCTCAAAGTCAAAGCCAAAGTCAAAATCATTTATTTCAATTAGACCAGTAAGGCACTTTTGAACGTCAAAACAAAGTATTTAAATATTAAATAATAAGAAAAAATGTTAGTCTGTAGGTCAGTCCTCTAGTGAAGCTATTTGTTCGTTCCAGTGTAGATTCCTATGGAGAAGAACGAGCAAGAAACTCCATAGGTTAGTCAATTTTGTTTATGTAGTTCTTTCTAATATCATTAAATATTGAAAAGAAAGTACTAAAGAATCCAAGAGAATTTCCTAGCTAATAAAAGTAAGTCTAAACATTAGAATTGCTATAAAATCATTAGGTTCGGCAATAAAATGTAGGTAAACGAACATACCGTAGACTAGTCACTTGTGTATAAATATTGTGACAATAAACATGTTAGGGGCCAGTGTAAACAACACACCTCCAACGATTTAGTACTTAAGTCGAGCTAGAAGTAAAATAGAACTAACTGACGTCTAGGTTACGATGATAGGTTGGACCGGATGCGTTCAAAATTGAGGTTCTAGTGTTTCAAGTTTATGGTATTCAAATGAGTGTACGTCTTTTATTAAGAAAAATAAGGGCTCTTTCTATTTCAGTATAACTCCACGGTCTGATGACGACTCGCGATAACTAGATGTATACTTTATTATTTATAGAACCTGTTACGATTATGATATTCCAGTGACAAAGTCCCTTATAGCCGTTTTCCCTAACCTTCCCTAAACTATCTCTTAACTAAGAGTTACTTAGCGTGAGGGAGCACCTAAACTGACTTACTTGTTCTGTTAGGTGTCAGTTGAAGCTATGATTGATTCATAATATGATTGTTATTATTGGTCACCCATCTTAACTACGGGGTTCCTTAAAAAACAGGCATTTCTGTGCTATACAGTAATATATCTTTCAAATAATCTCATTACGACTAATAACGACAGATAGTGCCAATTAGACTAATCGACCGCGCAAGATATATTTATGTGCGATCTAAGAAGGGTCAGCTTCAAGACGTCCAATGTTCAACGGCTAATTATGTCCTTCATTAGGACATCTCAGTAGAAATCTCAGTAGTAGCTCGGAGTCTGGAAATGTGCCCGATATACGGCGATAGGCTCACCGCCTATTACATGGGACTCGTAACATAAATAGTGAAAAGTGGGTGTTACCTCTGTGTGCACCTCTGCCTACCCCTTTCGGGGATAAAAGGCGTGATGTTATGTTCATTAGGACATCTATTGTTATTCTAACATACTTTTCAAATATTCCGAAACTCTGCAACCTATATAGTACTAAACCAACAATTCAAGCCATTTAAAATTACTACGTCAAAAGACAACCAATTACTCTGCAAAAAATTTAAATAAAAAGTGTTTTGTGTTTTTTTGTTCCTAATAGTGTAAAATATGGAGTGTACAATTCCGTAATAAAGAATTTATTATTATTGTTATATTATACTTATGGTCATGCAAGCGAGTATACGAAGTTTTAGCTCAATCAGTTAAAGATTACCTACATACATTGCAAGTTCAGTAATAACTTTTAAAATGATATAGTAATACCAATTCATTCCTTGAATACAAAGAAAACAAATTACACATTTCAACTACAAACCACCTTATTTTCTCATCACATATCTCCACTTGCTATAAACTCAGTACACCACAGGAGCTCCTAAATAAACAGCAGTATATACGCGTAGATGTCCGTCGACAGATCGAGATCAACAGTAAATAACGTAGCCAGAGACAGAGGGCTTCCTGCCCAACTGACACTTAATGTGACGCCAGGGCCG